GCAGAGATCCACAGCCAAGCCCCAGGAGTCCAATCAGTGTGAGAGAGGAGGCATTATATGAGCAAGATATCAAGACCATCATTGGAAAAATCACAAGGACAAATAGCCAAACTAGTGGAAACACATGAACTGTAAACCAATAGCTGAGGAGTCCCCATGGTACTAGACCAGGCCCTCTGGATAAGAGAGACAGTTGATTAGCTTGAACTATTTAGGAGGCCCCCAGGCAGTGGAACCAGGACCTGTCCTTGGTGCATGAGCTGCCTTTTTGGAACCTAGGGCATATGCTGAGACATTTTGCTCAGCCTTGGTGTAGGGAGGAGAGGACTGGACCTGCCTCATCTGAATCTACTAGGCTGGGCTGACTCCCCATGGGAGACCTTGCCTTGGAGGAGGTGGGAATTGGGGGGTGGGTTGGGGAGGAAGGCTGAGGGGTGGGAGGGGGAGGACAGGGGAATCTGTGGCTGATATGTAAAATTTAATTATAAAATAAAAAAAAATAAATAAGAAAAAAAGAATTGCTCAACATCCTTAGTCATCAGCAAAATACAAATCAAAATGACTCTGAGATACCATCTTACACTCGTAAGAATGGCTAAGATAAAAGACACTGAAGACAGCTTATGTTGGAGAGGATATGGAGCAAGTGGAACACTCCTACACTGTTGGTGGGAATGCAAACTTGTACAGCCACTTTGGAAATCAGTATGGTGGTTTCTTAGAAAATTGGGAATCAACCTCCCTCAAGACCCAGATTTACCCTCTTTTGGGTATATACCTAAGGAATGCTCAATCATACCACAAGGACACTTGCTCAGCTATGTTCATAGAAGCCTTATTTGTAATATCCATAACCTGGAAACAACCTAGATGACCTTCAACTGAAGAATGGATTAAGAAAATATGGTACATATACACAACAGAGTACTACTCAGCAGAGAAAAACAATGACATCTTGAAGTTTGCAGGCAAATAGATGGAACTAGAAAAAAAATCATCCTGAGTGAGGTAACCCAGACTCAGAAAGACAAACATGGGTATGTGCTCACTCATAAGTGGATACTAGATGTAAAGCAAAGGATAACCAGACTGCAACCCACAGCTCCAGAGAAGCTAGATAACAAGAAAGACCCTAGGAAAGACACAGGGATTGCCCAGTGATGGGAAAATGGATGAGATCTACATGAGCAAACTCGGGGTGAGGGAAGTTAATGGAGGACAAGGGTCAGGGGAAAGAGAGCTTAAGGGAGCGGGATATCCCAGCTTGATAAGGAACAGAGTGGGATAACAAGGAAAGAGATACCATGATAAATGAAAACCCCATGGGAATAGGAATAAGCAGAGTGCTAGGGAGGTCCCCCAGGAAACCACAAAGATGACTCCTCCATAGACTACTGGCAATCGTTGAGCGGGTGCTTGGGCTGATCTACTCTGGTGATAGGATGGCTGAATACCCTGTCATGATAGAACCCTCATCCAGTGACTGGTGGAAGCAGATGCAGAGATCCATAGCCAGGTCCGAGGTGGAGCTCCAGGAGTCCAGTCAATGAGAGAGAGGAGGGATTCTATGAGCAAGAGATATCAAGACCATCATTGCAAAAAGTACAGAGACAACTAGCCAAACTAGTGGAAACACATGAACTGTGGACCAATAGCTGAGGAGCCCCCATGGTACTGGAGTAGGTGCTCTGGACAAGTGAGACAGTTGTTTAGCGTGAACTGTGCAGGTGGCCCCCAGGCAGTGGGACCAGTACTGTCCCTAGTGCATGAGCTGGCTTTTTGGAACCTAGTGCCTATGGTGAGATACTTTGCACAGCCTTGGTGCAGGGAGGAGGGACTTGGACCTGCCTCAATTGAATGTACCAAGTTCTGCTGACTCCCCATGGGAGACCTTGCCTTGGAGGAGGTGGGAATAGGGGATGGGTTGGTGGGAAAGGCTGGGGGATGGGAGGAGGGAGGACAGGGGAATCTGCAGTTGATATGTAAAATGAATAGAAAGTCTCTTAATAAAAAAACTAAAAACAAAAACAAAAAAAGTTTTAAAAAAGAACTTGTTCTTTTTGATTTGGGGAACCTTGAAATAGACATGGTATCCAATTCAAAATGAAAACAATATGAAGTGGATATGAGAAAGTTCTATAATACTGATTTACCCATAACAAATTTTGTCTGAAAAAAACCACAGCTATCAAATTATTTCTTCTAGTAAGAACAAATATCATGTTACTGAATTGAATGACATCACAAATCCAACATTTGGAGTTTTCTTGTCTGCTATAGTAGCCTCTAGCCATGTTCAGATCTTTGTATTTTTTCATTCATTAAGCAAATTACAGTTAATCATTGGTGCTAAACATACAATAAGTCCTTAATAACCACATGGGCCTAGTGGTGGCCTTAGTGACTACTACAGGAAAACAGTGTTTTCTTGCTCACAGGACATTGTGTTAGGCCAGAGAGACATGGATCAACAATTAGATAGAAGATAAAAATGCCAAGCCAGGTGTTTTTACAATGATGTGCTACAGTAGGTCCACCCACTGTTAACTATCAGGGCTTCCACGATGTAGCTGTCAAATCACTAGCAGCCTGAAATTGAATCCTGTGGAATGATGGTATTCAGGTCAAATACGCAGGTCATTTGTCTTAATGTTTTATTTGGGGAAAACTGAAGGATAGATAAAACAAACCTGTTTATATCCCTGCACATGGATGAGCATCATAATATTTAAGTTTCTTATGTCTCTGTAGAGATATTCAGGTTTCTTAGCTTCATCCATTGAAAGGAACAATAGAAATATTCACATTAGACCTGTTTTGGGATTCCAGCTATCACTAAGAGTAGCCAAGTGCTGTGGAATAATCCTACTGTACACTATGAACATGTATTACTCTCATTGACTAATAAAACACTGATTGATCGGTAGCCAGGCAGGAAGTATAGGTGGGATAGCCAGACACAGAGGAGGCTGGAAGAACAAGATGGGGTCAGAGAGTGGCTAGCCAGATGTAGAGGGAGAAGGATGAACATGCCATGGAAATAAGGGTACCACCACGTGGCAGAGTGTAAATGTTGAATATGGGTTAACTTAAAATGTTACTTAACATACTAAATGCTAGTTAGTAATGAGCTATTGGCCAAGCATTTATATTCATATTCAGCTTCTGAGTCAGTAATTTGGGACTGGGCATTCAGGACAAGGAAACTCCATTTACAGCCAAGATTTCTTTGAAAAGTGGCCATTTCTAGGGAATTATAGAGAAATAGAGAGACACTTGCTCCAAAAATGATCAGTGTGAAGACAAAGAATCTTCTGGATGTTTTTCTGGTGGAGGAAGATGGGTACCACTATTCACTGGGCAAAACTCATAGAATAGAGACCAGTATTCAACCTTACATAAACAATCTCAGTGTAAGTCCATCTTATAACACGTGCACCACTCTGCAGGGCAGGGGTGTGAACGGCGGGGGTGGGTGCTACATGTACTCATGGGCAGAAGTATATTGGCGATCTCTGCACTTTCCTCTCAGTTCTTCTATGACCAGAAATTGCTCTACAAATCAATGTCTCTTATAGGAATTAAAAATTAATAAGGGCTGATAAGATGGCTCAGTGGATAAATGTACTTGCTGAGCAAGCCAGGTGGATTGAATTTGATTTGTGGACCCATGTAAAGGTGGACAGAGGGTGTCAGGACATGTGCATGACTCTACAAAGTTATCTTGTGACCTCAAGTCCTCAGAACTCACATAAATCGGTGTGGCCACACATTCTTGTATCTTCATCAGGGTAGGGAAATGGAGACAAGACACTCACTGGGGCTTTCTGGCTGCTAGACTAGATCCACATCCATCTAGAGACCCTGCCTCAAGTGAATAAGACAGAGAGCAACAGAGCTGAATACCAACATTCTCCTCTGGTGTTTGTGAGCAGAAAGAGAGAGAGAGAGAGAGAGAGAGAGAGAGAGAGAGAGAGAGAGAGAGAGAGAAACAAAAACGAACAGAAAGGACCCACCATGTCACACAAAAGGGCCATGAGTGGACACACATAAGACAGTTGAATGCAAAGTAGCTAGTGATAAGAGCCGAGAGCAACAGGGAATGCATGAGATCACAGTGACAGAAGCAACTGAACAAAATTTAAATAATTAATAATAGAATTAAAAAAATTTTAGATGATAAAGAAGAGGACATTCCTTTACATTGGGTGATGACTGGTTAGTGTAGAGTAAATAATAGTAAGAAGGCCGTCATTCTGTAGCTATAACAGTAATAGTAGTTTTCATCACAAAGCATCCACAGATGATATAAAACCAGGAGGTTAAAAGATGAAGAAGGGGCTGGAGAGATGGCTCAGAGGTTAAGAGCACTGGCTGTTCTTCCAGAGGTCCTGAGTTCAGTTCCCAGCAACCACATAGTGGCTCACAACCATCTATAATGAGATCTAGTACCCTCTTCTGATGTGCAGGCACAAATGCAAACAGAATGCTGTATACATAATAAATAAATAAATCTCTTTTTAAAAGATAAAAGATGAAGAAAAGCTGGGTATATAGTTTCCCAGATAAAATTTACACAGAGCAGAGTAAATTGCAGATGAAGTTGTTGAATACAGTTCTACCACTCACTCCCAGGGACCATCCCCACTGCTTGACAGCATACTTCCTGATTAGGACCCAGATGCAAATTCCCAGGCAGAGATTCAGAATCAGTGGGATTGGAAGGAACTGAGAATCTGAATCTGCTCTGACAGATGACCCAGAACCACTGAGGACTTCTGGGCATGAAAGGCTTCTCTGTGGCTGCCCCACAGGCTCTGGTCCAATTACACCAGTGTACTTCTATAAAGCTCCCGTGGACACCATAGATATCATCCATGTGCATGTCTTTCAGAAATTTGGCAGAAGTTTCTATTCTGGACCACCACCCATGCACATGTCCAGAAACCCTCTTCTCTCTGAGCTTCTTGATCTACACATCGTGAAGTGTCCTGGGTTACCTTTTGGGGACTCTTCGCCTTTGGAGTTCTGAGTGTTCATCATCAGCTGAAGAAAATCCACTCGGGTCTGGAAGAAGAAAGGGAAAATGATGATGGTCATCTAGCTGAGAGGTCAGACTTGAAACAGGGGTTCATAACTTCACCTCCCTTCTGAGAATATGTCCACTTGAAGTCCACAAGTGTGACTTGAGCCACCAATGAATAAAAGCATGTATGGGCTGAAGAAATTGCTCCGTGGTTAAGAGCACTGAATGCTCTTGCAGAGGACCTGGGTTCAGTCCCTAACACTGATAAGGTGAATCACAATCTCTTGTAACTCCAGTTCTGGGGACCTGATGCCCTCTTCTGGCCTCTGCAGGCATTGCACACATGTGGTACACAGGCATGCAGGTGGGCAAAGCACCCATATACTTAAAATTAAAAAAGGGAAAATTAAAGCCTCTATCAGCAAGCCTTGGGGAACAAGACATTTCCTTGGTAGAAATGCAGTTTTTGGTCTTTGTTTCTCTGATCTAGGTTTCTTTGGCTTCTGAGGAGATTCCTGGCCAAAGAGCTGTTTACTCCTTCAATCATCATGCTTGCTCAGAAAAGTCCTGAACTCCAATTCTCTGTTCTCTTACCACAATCCTTAACCAACAGCCTCCTTGATTAACTCTATCTCTAGTACTCACTTCCAAGTTTTGTGTGAGCATCGCCTGCTACCCCACACTCCAGGCACTACAAAATTCTAAGTGTTGCCACAAGTGCCCTTCTCCCTGATCTGCAGACAGAATTTTTGTGGCCTCCAGGCTACATATAGCAGAGCTAGGCTAGCAGCCTGAAAACTGATTGTCCAAAGAAAATATTCACCTTTTGGATGAGTGGCTTGTGACCTCACTGTCAAGAAAATTCCCACACACAAGGCAAGAAGTACTCAAATTTAAACACGGGCCAATCTCCACCAGGTATGGTCATACTTCTATTGGAGAAAATAAGTTTAAAACTGAAACCAATCTTTTGATGATATAAACTTTAGGGACAGAATAATAGTAGTAGATATAATTTGTAAGTACAAATTCTATTTTTTTGACTCTTTTCAATTAAGGGTGGTAGCAATGTTTTTACTTGATTGGCACTTATCTCAGGGAATAATAACTTTCACTCCTTTTGGCAAATGTGAAACTGTTTCTCTATTATTCTCATATAGCATCACCCAACTTCTATATTCTTCTTCTTCTCCCTAAAATGTTAACATTATCTTGCTCTAAGCATAGTTTTCTCTATTCATTTTTAAGAGAACACTGGGGAAAATACATAAATCACACACTCACAGCCTGACACATGACCAAACCCTGAGCATCATAACCAAATCTTGAGCACTATGAAAGCAGCATCACATTTTACCTTCTGGTTTGAATCAAGGCGATTTTTCTTCATCCTTGCTACAAATTCTTTGAAAAATTTCACTGATTGTCTTGGAAAAATGGAGAGATTTAACAACTCATATATTGGAGTAAGGAATGGAAACAGAACTACAGAGAAAAAAATAAATACAGAGAATAAGTGACTATGGACTGTCCAGCATCAATGGATATGCCTACAATGCAAACTATATATTTAAGGCTCTGGGAAAATCATGGATGAGGAGGAGTGTTGTAAAAACAAGAAGATGAGAAGGCCTGCTGTGAGATTGCATCTTCTAGACATGGCAGGGAAACTGGACTTAAGAAATCTCAATGATATGGTTGTCCAGACAAGATCTGTGTAATGATAACAATGGTTGACATGCCTATGTGGATGGGGAAATCCCACAAGCTCTTACCTCTAGATGAAGAGTCACAGGAAATTAATGACTATTGAGAGAAAGAGTCAGTTTTCTCCAAAGATGAGGACATGATAGGTGATCCAACCCAAGTAGTTGGCCATAAACATGGATGTAAGAGCAACACCAAATGGACTCAGTAGGCTAGAGCATGTGTACATATGTATATGTAACCATTATAGTTATAGGAGAAGAGTCGTGGATTAAGAAGGATATAGCAGAGTGGTGGGGGTGGGGGTAAAGAAGGGATGGAAATAATGCAAATATAGTACTCATATATAAAAGTCTTAAAAATGTAAATAATCCCCCATAATGTTTGACTCCTAAATGTATCCCAAGGTAGTAATAATAAGAAAATCATGAAGAAAAAAATGAAGTTTCATATGGGATGTGGAGAAAATGGAGCCCTGTGAACTAATAGCAGCAAAACAAACAAACAAACAAATCCTGAAAAGGATTTTCAGTTGCCCAACAAGTCAAACATAGAATTCCTCTATAATTCACCAATTCCACGTGAATTTCCTACTCAGAAAGCATGAAAACAAATGTTCAGTCATCAGATGGTTCAGAATATGATGGAACATGGGAGTGGCAACAGATGATTCTGTTGAATGTATGATGTTAAGTGAAAGAAACTAATTGCCAAATTCCATGTACTCTATAAAATATTTGTATTGTATTTTAATGCTATGCCCAGAATAGACAGATTTACAGGAACAGACAGCTAACTGGACATTTCTTATGGTGAAGAGGAATGAGAGATAAGACTGAAAAGGTGTAGTTTTTTCTTAGAAAACACATTTCTGAGTTGACAATGGTGATGGGTGCATGTGCCTTTGGTGAACAAGTTGAATTATATATTTTAAGTATTTGTATTTTTTACATGTGAACTATATCTCAATTATGGTGTTATTTTGACTGGTATGTAGGAGGGAGGAATATAAAGAAAGAAGAAATAGTGTACATACCTATAGAGAGAAGAAACGGATCAAAAATGGAAAACTTTAAGATCTTTTTGGCTTTCTGCACAAAGGGATCCTCTGGGTTGTTGAGGGAATCAACGTTTACTCCAAATGATGTGCCAATGATCACATCCATGCTATAAGCTCCAAGGATGCTGAGTAGAGAGAGACATAGGAATTAATATCTACATTTGAGGCAGCTCATATTTATGAGCTACCCAGGTAGGGAGCCACACAGTCAGAATCACATGCTGGATCATCAGTGGGGGCTAGGCTCCTATCACAATCACACATGGGGCCTTTACCTGGTGTCAGTTTGCAGATGTCCCTTTCCTAGAGTTGAAGGGACACTAGGTACTTACAGTCCCATCAACTGCACCACCACTTACTCTTTCATGGTGATGGGCTTCCCTCTTTTTTCTTCTCGTCTCAAGTTTCTCACCAATGCATCTCCATACTGTCCAATGATGGGGAACATCTAAGCACAAAGCACAGAATCTGTAGCTAAACGAGGAAACTCAGGTCCCAGAAAGACAAATCATCCCCAGTCATGAAGCAATGAGTGGGATGTTACAGTGGATTTTATAAAGAGTCCTCTGGGCATGAAGACAGAAGGTCATTTTATAGGAATTGTAACTCAGAGGACCAACCCTTGGAAAGGGAACGTGGACTTGTTTTCTACCTGTCCCCAGATTCATTCCATAAGTAAATGCCCTCTCCCTCATCACCTCCTTGAGTTTTCCACTGGTGAAAGTTGGAGACAGCAGTGTTCGAAGTCTCTTCCATTCTTCATCCTCAGATAAGTTGATGGCCTTTTTCATAAGTCCCACTGGACCAAAAGCCTAGAATTGATATAGAAAGGATATTTATCAGATTAAAGTTATGATAATCTTCACAATTCTAGAAAGTTGATTAAACAAGCATTTTTTATTTAACAAATAATACTGAATATTAAGTGTCTGAACATTACTAGATGCTCAATAATCTTTTATTTAAATTGTCATAATTCCTCTGCATAGCAGTAACATCATACACCTGGTATAGCTTCACATCTTTCTATGACTGTCTCATTTTAAATGGAAGTCACCCTTGAAGGATCCATGAGAACAGATAGGATAGCCCTACAGCATCCTTCAAAGCTGTTCAGACAAAAATGCATTAGTGACAGACAGCAAATGGCCTTGGCAAAGTATCAGCTCAGGTCAGTTCCTCATTCACTTCTGTCAACAGTAAGAGCAATTGGATGACTTGAAGTTGAGTTTTTAAAAAAGTTATAAATGCTATAAAATATTGATTTGATATTTCAAGAAATAATACAATTGTATATAAGTTATTTTTTATCTTAATTTTCTATATAAGGACATGAGGAAAAAGAAAAATAATTCTATTCCTCTACTAGGAATGTTCTTCAATCACATATATCTGTGAACATTGAGTAAATGGAATGAATACACACACACACACACACACACACATACACACATACACACACAGATTTTGTTGTTGTTGTTTTGTTTTGCTTTATGGCAGGATCTCACTATGTAGCTCTGGTTCTCCTGGAACTCACTATGTAGACTAGGCTGGCCTTGAACTCACAAAGATTCTCCTGCCTCTACCTCTTGAGTGCCAAGATTAAAGGTATGCACTACCACACCTGGCTCCCAGAACTGTATTTTGTGCTCACAGACTCTTCCAATATTCTTCTATAACAAAAGCTCAGTACTACAGGTAGATATAGACTTGTTCCACTCCATGAAACAGGATTATCCAGAATCCTTCAATCAACTTCACACTTAATGGTGAAAGTCTGAACATTCACCCACTGTTCTGTAGCAACTTTAAAACGTCTGCTGTGTCAGCCTGATCTATAAAGGGAGTTCCTGGACAGCCAGAGCTACACAGAGAAACCCTGCCTCAAAACCTTGCCCCCTAAAAAGTCTACTGTCACCACTGTCATTCAGTATCATCCTAGAAGTACCAGCTAGTGCAAGAAGAAAGTAATAATCAAAAGTATTCTTATATTCAGGCAATGTAATTGTCTGTGTAGAACATATCAAATAACAAAGAACGAATTTATAGGGATAATAAGTGAATCTGGTGATTGTTTTATGATACAGCAACAATTCAAAATCAATTGAGTTTGTACTTAACATCAATTATATTAGAAACAATCTCAAGACTATTACATAATAGCCAACCATGTCCAGAAATGTTATAAGTTATTTACACTTAAGATACAAGCTTAGCAAACTATGTACAGGTCTTTCAGCTGAAACCTATAAAATTTTCATGTGGAAATCAAAAGAAATCTAAAAGGTGTAGAGCACACAGTAGTCATACATTAGAGGATTCAACACAAAAAGTACATTTATTTTCTCATGTCAATTTCAAATTTTCAACAAACTGAGATCATTGTCAGTATAGACAAGCTTGTTCTGATTCGAGCTAAAAGATAAATGGCCAGGAATAGTTCTATCAACTCTAGAAAAATGCGGGTGGAATGAGTCCACATGATGTAAAGATTCAATTCCCAAGAAAGTGTGGTCTTAGAAGGGAGAAAGACATTGTGCTCGATGGAAGAAAATATAGAATGAGAAACAGTTCCACATGAGTAGGGCCAATATGCTAAAAATATTTTAGATTTTTTTACATTTGTGTGTGTGCTTGTCTGTATGTGTGTTTGTGCACCACATGTGTGCAGTGACTTCAGAGGCCAGAAGGGGGTGTCTGATGCCTGCAACTTGATTTACAGATGGTTGTGAGCTACCATGTAGATGCTGGAAATTGAACCTGGGTCCTTTGGAAGATCAGCCAGTGTTCTTAACCACTAACTCATCTCTTCAGTCCCTGAGGAGGTTTGATAATGCTATAAGAAGAATTCTGTGGAGGGAACAGTTTGCCCCAAATGATACATAAATAACTGGACATGGATGGTGCAACCTGAAACTTTACCTGCGTTTCATACTTTATACCCTAAATTTTAAACATATCACAGATGGTAATGTAAAGTATAAAACTAAATGCACATGCTCTAAAAAAAATAAGAGTGCTAGGCCCAGCTGAGGATGTAGCTTAGGTGGCAGAGTGCTTGCCTAGCATGCATGAAGCCTGGGGGCTTGATCCTCAGCACTGCATACACCAGGTGGGGTGGCACATGCCTGTAACAGAAGCACTTGAGAGGTTGAAGACTGAGGCAGAGACATATGAAGCCTCATTAAAAGAAGAGTGCTGAACAAAATATGATCAGACTTGACCCCAAAAGCACATTCACCAAATGAAAAATGGATCAGACTCGGAGGAAGAAAAGATAGGTGATTCATGGCTGCTGTAACACACTTACAAGTGGAAGCTCCATGGTGGAGGGACAGTCCTGTGTCCTTACTGTGTAGCTGTTACATAGACTTAGACACATGATAATCTGCAGAGAGCTACCCATATACACACACAAGTCAGAGAATGGTAAAGAAGCTGTGGATGGTATCAATGTCAATTGTTTTTGTATAGCAGATGCATCCTAGGTAGCTTTACTTGTCAACTTGACACAGCCAAGAGCCATCTGAGAGGAGAGCCTGGACTGGAGAATTGTCCATATCAGACTGGCCTGCAGGCATGTCTGTGGGAGATTGTATTGACTACGAATTGATGCAGTAAGGCCCAGTCCACTGTGGGCAGTACTATTCCTAGGCAGGCAGCCCTGTGCTTTATAAGGAAGCTAGCTAAGTGTGAGGCTGAGCAAGCCAGCAGGTAGCTTCTCTTCATGGTTTTTGCTTCAGGCTCCCGTGCTGAATTCATCACTGAACTCTTTCCTCTGCTAAGTTGCTTTTGGTCAGAGTGCTTTTTCAAAGCAACAGAAATGAAAGTAGAAAAAGCAGAACTATGTTCTATTTATACAAGTCATCACTAATGTTTATATATATATATATATATATATATATATATATATATATATATATATATATATATATATCATGAAGAGTACCAAGAACTTTCCTGAGCGTGATGACAGCTCTTTAAAATTTAAATTTAATTTAAATTTTTGTGGTGGATCATTGTTATTTGTTTTTATTCTTTACTCCCTTTTTTTGGCTCTTTGGATCTTTTGGGGGACTTGCCACCCAGCTCCCAAATAAATCATACAGAGTCTTATTCTTTCTTAATGAATGTCCAGCCTTAGCTTGACTTGTTTCTAGTCAGTGTTTCTTAACTTAAATTATTCCATCTATCTTTTGCCTCTGGGATTTTACCTTTCTCTATTTCCATATATCTATCTTTTCTTCTTATTCCATCTCTGGCTTTGTGGCTAGGTGGCTGGCCCCCGGCATCCTTCTCTTTTTCTCCTTGCTTGATATCCCTATATCTCTTTGTCTCCTTCCATATTTTTCTCTGTCTGCCAGCCCTGTCTATCCTTTCTCCTGCCTTGCTATTGGCTATTCAGCTCTTTATTAGACCAATAAGGTATTTTACACAGGCAAAGCAATGCAGCTTCACAGAGTTAAACAAATGCAACACAAAAGAATGCAATACAGCCTTGCATCATTAAGCAAATGTCCCACAACATAAATAAACATAACACATCTTTAACTAATATTCTACGACAGTGGATAGTTGTGGCGGTTTGAATAGGAATTGCCCCCATAGGCCCATAGCTTTGAATGCTTGGTCACTAGGGAATGGTACTACTTGACAGGGATTAGGAAGTATGGCCTTGTTGGAGGAAGTGTGTCTCACTAGGGTGAGCAATAGGATTTCAGAAGCCCAAGCCAGGCCCAGTGTTTATTTCTTCCTGCTGCCTGCAGATCTGGATGTAGAACTCTCAGCTACCTCTCCAGCACCATGTTTGCCTGCATACTGCCATGCTTCCCACCATAATGACAGTGGACTAAACCTCTGAAACTGCAAGCCAGCCCCAATTAAATGTTTTCTTTATTAAGAGTTGCCATGGTCATGATGTCTCTTCATAGCAATAAAACATTGACTAAGACAATAGTAAAGATTTATGTTTCTTAAAAAAGGACACCTACCCGACGGTTTGTGAAGATTGAGTAGCATTCTTTCACTAGCACCACTTTGATGAGCTCTGGATCCGTGATAGCCAGCACAGGCTGTCGACCGTCATAAAACCTGAGGTGGGAAAACAGGGTGGACTGAACCTCAGAAGCCAGATTCTACACCTGGAATCACATACAGACTCGACACTCCACTCCCAAGGCTACACAGTCCACATCCCCAGCTCTATAAAGCACAGCAACATGAACCCCTAGTTCAAGTTCTGACCATTGAAGCCATTGGAGTCTCATGAAATGAAGGGTTATGTAGCTAAAGCAGGGAAGAGGCACTTAGAACAAAACAGCCCTTTAAAGACATTCTAGTTAGAATTCACACTGGAGCATCTGTTATGGCTAGGCGTGCATACATGGTTATTGCCAATACCATTCTTGCATATTTAAATAGTTCAGTTTCTGGGTTGGAGGTATGGCTCAGTGGTAGAGCCCTTGTCTATGAAGTGTGTGGCACTGGGTTTGACCCCCTCCCCCAGAGATACAAAAAAGTCAGAGAAAATGAATAAATGATTCCAAAGTCAAAACAGAATGTATCAGAGGAAACTTAGAGACAAACTATTCAGTGTTCATAATACTGTTGCAGGAGCAGTTGCTTCGGTGCCACCAGAGGGCAGCACAACACACGCTTAGCATTGGGTCACATGGTCACTATTTTGTCTGGCTTGATCTTGTGTGTCTAGGCAGGTCATAGGCCCTGATGGACATACTAATAAACCAACTCCCAAAGACTTATTACACCCATAGGTTAGCACAGGCACAGGTCTCAACCCTCATCAGAGAGGCTTCTTCTAGTACAGTGGTTCTCAACTTGTGAGTCACAAACATTGGAAAACATATTTCTGATGATCTTAGGAACTGATATACTGTTCAGTAGCAAAATTAAAGTTATAAAATAGCAACAAAAATTTGTGGTTGGAGATTCCTAAGACAACCAAAAATATGTGTTTTCTGATGGCCATGACCCACAGGTTGAGAACTGCTGTTTTAGCAGGAGATGGAGATTAACATAGAGACCCACAACTGGTCAACGTGCATAGAATAAGAAATTGTGGAGTGCTCATTTCTAAATGGAGCATCTCTGTCACACCCTGTCTTAGTCAGCATTTCTATTGTTGTGATGAAACACAATGGCCAAAGCAAGTTGGGGAGGAAAGGGTTTATTTGGCTTACACTTCAGCATTGCTGTTCATCATTGAAGGTGTCAGAACAGGAACTCAAATAGGGCAGGAACCTGGAGGCAGGAGCTGATGCAGAGGCCATGCAGGGGTGCTGCTTACTGGCTTGCTCCTCATGGCTTGCTTTCTTATGGAACACAGGACCACCAGCCCAGGGATGGTCCGGCCTACCATGGGCTGGGCCCTCCCCCATCAATAAACAATTATGAAAATTTCCTATAGATGAATCTTATGGAGGCATTTTCTTAATTGAGGTTTCCTCCTCTCATGTGTTAAGTTGCTACAAAACTAACTAGTGCCCCCTTCCCCTCCGTGGCTCAGGGATCATCCTGGAAGGTGGGGTGGAAGGTTTGTGACAGCCAGAGGCAGTGGATGTCTCCAGTGGAACTGTTTTCTGGATGCAACATTCTAGTTCTGCATTTGAGCTGACACCGGCATGACTGCATGCATAAGACTTTCGATGTCTAAGAGTGAAAATTTGTAAGGAAATGTTTGTTGTCGCATGTCTCTGAGCCGGTGCTCAGAGGTTCTGTAATAATAGACTTGATGTATTAGAAAGGAGAGGCAATGATCTGACCCTAAGAGTTCTCAGGACACCAAGTCCTGGAGGGTGCTGAGAGGCAAAAATCTTAACTGAATTCACACTGTTCAACTTGATGCCTGTGACATGTACCACCTTACCAGGACAAAGCTCCAAAGGCTTTACTCCAAGAACTGTGTGCTGACACTGTCCTCATATGAGGTGGGGTGCATTATCCTAATAAGTACATTGAATGGAAGATATCAGAAGACTCACCCCCATATTTTTCCATACTTTTTATAGCAATCATCATCAAATTTCCATGCACCCTGGAAGAGAAATAAAATGAAATTTGTTATTGTTCTGTTACATACTGATCCTTTCCTAGCTAGGGCACAAACTATCTCAAATCTCACAAAATCAGGCTTTCCGTCCCACTGCCAATAGAAGCAAGTTCTTATTAGAGATATCTGAATGGATAGGGAAGACTAGAGGAGTTGTCTGGAATAAAGGGTTTAAGGCTGTTCTTGCACTTTCTTTGTGGTTAAGAGCACTGACCGCTCTTGCAGAGGACCTAAGTTTAATTTCCAGCACTTGCATGGTGGCTCTAAACCATCTGTAACTCCAGCTCCAGGGATCTGAGGCCCTCTTCTGGCCTCTTCATTCAGTTCACACATGATACACACTCATTCACACTTAAAAATAAAGCAAAAGAGTAGAGCCAAGCTTGGTGGCACATGCCTACAAATCCTAGATCTTCAGAGGTGGAGGCAGGAGCATCACAAATTTGATGGCTGGCATGGGCTGTGTAGTGAGATCTGGTATACCTACAACTATAAACAAACAAACAAACAAATAAATAAATAATGGGTGCTGAATGAAGGAATGAAGGAATGAATAAATAAATAAATGGATGAAATGGAGAAACCAACAACCCTAGATAAAATGGAAGAAGAGACAATGGGGAACATGAGGATGTGAGAGAGTGAGAGAAGACAGTATGGAAATCACAGAGGAAATGGAGATGCCCTTTCTACAGGAGGGCAGAGTGAAGGAAACTCGCTAGGTCTGAGCTTTCAATATTAAAGATGAGACATGAAGATTTCCTAAAACTGAGTTGCAGCTGTGATGTAGTTCAATGGGCACAGCACTCGCCAAGTGCTCCCAAAGCCCTGGTTTGCATCTCCTGCATGGCACTAACTGGGCATGGCGGCTCCTGCCAGTAATCCCAGCACTTGGGAGGTGGAGGCAGGAGGATCAGAAATTCAAGTCATCCTTCCTTACATGGTGAGTCCCAGGCCAAGCCTTGGCTGCATGAGACCCTGTAAGGAAATAAAGGAAGTTTCACAATAGGGAGTGTGTTCTAGTTCTAGGGGGAGCTTCTATCAGAGAGTTCACCTGGGAAGGCTGGAGTTACAAATGCGTGCCTGGCTTTACCTCCCACCTTTTCACTCATGAGTATTTTCTTTCCACAGGATAACATATGGAGTTCTTATATGAACAGTGAAGTGATGTGAAGCTGTGAAGCGATGGAGATCTCATTTAGAACTCCAGCCTGCAGTAAGCTTTTAGTTATAAATTGTAGAATCTGACAGACAACTGGAGTCTTTGGGGGCATGAAATCTTAGCAGAGAGCAGACCACATGCCTTCAAGAGCTGATCTCATTGCTTTCCGGCCAGGTTTCAGCTTTGGGCCAGGGTCAGACCAGGCTGTCCACAAAGAATCAGCCATTCATTGCACATGGTACCAAATTTTTGGTAATTGTTGCTAAATCATCCTTCCTGTGGTGATTCCATAAAGTTAGTCCACCTTCTCTTAGAAATGCAAAACTTGCTATGATATCTGAGGGTGAGAGACAAGTACCATCTTGTTTCAGTCTCAGCCACCTCATGCTCAGACTGGTCCTCAGGGTGCTGTCTTGGGGAAAAGAACCAACGCAGAACACCATTATTCTGTCAAACCCTCAAAAATGCCCTAGTTATTAAGATAGTATGGAACCATCTAAGTAGCTGCAGGGGACACAGGAGTCCCTGAGAGGTTTCTGGTAAAGGGGAATTCCCTGTAGTCAACACACAGGCGTCCTGATGCAGGGATGCTGCAGAGCTGGCCAGCAGGAAGAGAAAAAGTGCTGCTCCTGAGCCCAGTGTGAAGTCTGGTCTAGTGCACACAGGCTGCTGCGGTGCTACTGTGACCAGGCGCTTTCCCGTGAGTTAAGGACACCTGTGCCTTCCTGGAGGCTCCACTAAGGAAAACCCCAGACTTCTCCTGCTCCTTACAGCCTGAGTGTGAAGCCCTGAACACCAGATTCTAGTGTGCCTGCGATCATGGCTTTCTAACTTCAAATGAATGTCATCAAATCCTAAAGGGAAACCTGAGCACTTCCCTGGTTGGTCAAACACAGTTTCTGATAGCCTGACACCCCAGAACTTCCTTCTGAGGCCTGACCTTTGCATCTATGGAAGGGGTTCATAAACAGATGCATAAGAAATTTCAGTTGGGCTGAGTATAGTGGTACATGCTTTTAATCCCAGCACTTGGGAAGCAGAGGCAGGAGGGTCATTAAGAGTTCAAAGCCAGTCTGACCCATATACAGTTCCAAACCAAGCTGGCTACATAGTGAGGCCCTGTCCCAGAAGACAGATCTGCAGCTGAGAGGACTGGCCGCTCTAGCAGAGGAACCAAGTTCAGTTCTCAGCATCCATATGGTAATTTACAACCTTCTGTAACTCCAGTTCTAGGAGATCTGACACCACCTTTGGACCTCAGCAGGCACCAGGCTCACATGTGGTGCTCAGACATAAGTGCAGACAAATACTCATAGTCTTAAAAGAAAATAAATAAATCTAATTTTAAAGGAAATTGTAACTATAAGAAATGAAAGAGAAGCTGGGTGGTAGCGCTGGTACACACCTTTAATCCTAGCACTCAGAAGGCTGAGTCAGGTGCTGTCTGTGAGTTTGAGGCCAGCCTGGTCTACAAAATGAGTTCTAGGACAGCCAGGGAGACAGAGAGAAACTCTGTCTTGAAAAACCAAAAACAAATGAAAAAAATAAAAGGAATGAAATGGAAGAGCTTAAACATGACTCACTTCACTATAGGCATGAATGGTGCCAAATAAAGGCAGAGGTTTTGGTCCAGGAATTCTGAGTTTCTTAAAAATCCCATGAGAATAGGTCCCATATCTGTAAAGCAATAGAGAAATCAAAGTTACAGGGATTGTGATTGTGATTTTACACATACTGAGTCAGTCATTGACTCAGTAACTGCAAGAATCAAACCATAGAAGTAATATCTAGGCAATGAATCACAGTAGAAACCCCAACAGCTACAATCCTAATCACTCACCCTCTCCCTATGCCCACTGAGTGGGCCCACACTAGTTCATAATGATGAAAGAGAGACAGGGGAAATTTTTATGCTTCCAACCCAAGAGAGCAGAACTGATGAAAACCTCCTAGATTTGGATTTTAGAGTATCTGAGAGATTCAGGCTCAAAGCTTCCCAGGGTGTCTCATTTGCTTGTGTCCATTAAGAAAATTCCATGAAGCAGTGACTCTCATTAGGTAAGGGGGGTTTATTTGCATAACAGAATGTAATTAATGACACAGGGCCATGGAGACCTTATAGTACTGTTTGTCTAGATTGGCCAGAGATGTATGTTTTTCCTTTTCTCTAAGCCACAATCTTGTTAGAGGCTCTAATTGTTGTGAAATTTTCCTTTTTAGAAAGTTCTGGAAGCATCATGAAGTTCTTATGTCCATATAATGACAATTGAGTTCATGACTGCCACTGGCTTCAGAGAAATTTCAGAGGCTCTCAAGATTCTCTGTCTTGCAATGTGGTTGACTTGTGCTATAAGGAAGGCTGCTTTCCAGTATGTAACCTCACTTACTAAGGCTTCATTTCTAAGGCATTCCTCTCTTGGTTAATCTGGACCTCCAACTGGTGATGCTCATCTGATGGGCACAGTGTCAGGGAGACTCTTATTTCTCATGATGGTCAATGTGGTAGTTTGAATGAAAAAGGCCCCCTAGGCCCGTGAGGAGTGGCACTTTTGGGAGGTGTGGCCTTATTGGAAGAAGTGAGTCACCGGGGGTGGCCTTTGAGGTTTCAGATTCTCAAGCCAGGCCCAGTGTCACTCTTTCTTCTTGCTTCCTGAAGATCGAGGTGTAGAACTCTCAGCTTCTTCTCCCAAACCATTTCTGTCTGCATGTCACCATGCTTCCCACCATGATGATAATGGACCAAACTTCTAAAACTTCAAGCCAGGCCCAAGTAAATGTTTCTTTATTAACAGTTACCATGGTCATGATATCCCTTCACAGCAATAGAAACCCTAACCAAGACAGAAGCTAACACCAGGGACTGGAGTATTACTGTGATAGACTCGACCATGAGTTTTTGGAGGAATATAGACTTTGGGACGTTGGATTAGAAAAGTGCCTGAATGCTTTAAGTGAACCATTAATGGGCCATACTAGTAGGAGCATGGAAACCAGTAGTGCTGGAGTAATTTGAACTGTGACAGTCTGGCTCAAAATGTTTCAGAGGAGAAGAATATTAGCATGTGGTCTAGAGACTGTTCTCAGGATATTTTGGCAAAGAATGTGGCTGCTTTCTGCCCGTATCCAAAAAAAAATCTGCCTGAGGCTAAATTGGAGAGTTATGGATTAGTAGCTTTGGCAGAGGAAATTTCCAGACAGCCTAGTATTGACTGTGTTGCTTGGTTATTAGAGGCCACTTGCAGACTTATAATGAAAAGGAGCAAGCTGAGAAAAGAAAAATACAAAATGTACAGTTTGAAGAAGAAAGAGATACCAGGAAGTTCAAACAGACTAAATAAAAGCCTGATGCTACATGGAATAAAATGAGTGGTGACCTCAGAGAAAGACCCCACCTAGATAGGCTTCCAACTTAGGAAAAGGAATTAAAGAAGAGTGAGAAGGAATTAAAGAAAAGCTTGGAGCTAGTCATGGTGGTGCACACTCTTAATCTCAGAACTCAGAAGGCAAAAGCAGGCAGATCTCTGAGCTTGAGGCCAGCCTGGTCTACAGAGCAAGTTCCAGGGCAGCAAAGTGTAGGCAGTGAAGGAAACCATTGAAAACAGAAAGCTGGTGAAGATGTGTTTGAATGAGAGGGCCATGTTCCAGCTTCAGGAAGCAACAGAACTTGGCAACTTCAGTCATATGGTTCTGGTTTTAGAGTCAAGGATAGAAGAAAGGGGTTTTGGAATCTCCCTTCATAGCTAAGGAAAGCCACCGAGACCAGGTGTGTGTCAAGCTTGTCCCTGTATGGAGGCCTAGAGAGGCCATTGTGGCATGGATTGCATGGTGACCACTGCTGCTTGACAGCATTTTGACTTTTGAGGATCACAATTCTCCAGCACTTTAATTTTTAATGATTCTCACTATGTATTATGGGAGTTCCCTCATGCCTTCTCCTTTGGGAAATTTCATGCAAGCTTTGAAGGGTGAAAATGTATAAAATGGCAGCCATCCTGATTCACTGATTGCAACAGTCTATTCCTTCTTCTTGTCAACTCCATACCTCCTCTTTGGGACCTGAACCCTGCCAGAGCAGAACTTTGGCACCATGTGTGAAGCTGTGGAGGTAAAGCCTGGATTGCCTTGGAGGTTCCAAAATACTGGAAATGCTAGCATTGTGGGATACCTGCCATGGAGAGCTGTTAAAAGGGAGTGGAACTAGTCCAAGAGAAAGAAGTGTAGTCAACAAAGGTGAAAGGAGTTGGAGATATGAGGAGTGCTTTGACTTCAGACTTGGAGATGCAGAGTTTGGAGATTTCCCAGCTGGTTTTTGTTCTTGGTTTGGTCCAATATTTCCTCACTCTGCTCTCTTTCCTCCCTTTTGAAATGGTACTGTATATTATATATTGTGCCATTATATGTTGGAAGTATGTGATCTGTTTTTCATTTTGATTTTACAGGGGATTACAGTTAAGAGGTTATATGCGCCTTGGGAGAGACTTTGAACTTTGGACTTTTAAACAGTGCTGATACTGTAATATCAACATTACGTGCTGATCCTGTGATATCAGACTATGGGAACATTTGAAGTTGGCCTACAATATGGCTATAAGCCTATGGGGGCCAGGGAGTGAAATGTGGTGTTTTGAATAAAAATAGTCTCCATAGAGATATAGGGAGTGGCACTGTTAGGAGGTGTGGTTTTGTTGGAGTAGGTGTGGCTTTGTTGAAGGAAGTGTGTCACAAAGGGTGGGCTTTGAAGTTTCAGATGCTCAAGCCAGGCCCAGTGTCTCTCTCTCTGCCTGCTGCCTGCCAATCCATATGTAGAACTCTCAGCTCCTTCTCCAGCACCATGTCTGCCAGTATGCCACCATGCTTCCTGCCATGACAATAACGGACTAAACCCCTGAGACTGTAAGTCGGCCCCAATGAAATGCTTTCTTGTATAAGTGTTGCCATGGTCATGGTGTCCCTTCACAGCAGTAGAACAGTGACTAAGATGGTTAGTCATGAAGGAGGATGATTATTGCCTGTATGCATCAACTCAGCATATTCAAAGTTCCACTAAGGCAGGACCTCCCCAGGGCAGGGCTGCTATCACTGATGACATGCCAATCCTAATTCCTATAGACCAGGGTTCATGGTGCCTCAGACCTCTGAGCTCCAATGTGGCTGACACCCAGCAGATGTGGGAGAAGATGCAAGGCTGATGGAAGGTGATTCTGGAGACCACTGTAAGCTTTCACAAGCCAGTTACATGAGAGGAGCCTGGTCACAGCAAGCTTAGAAATTATAGCAGAAATGGATATTTTGTATAAAGGTTTGATTTGAACCAGGAATTCTTTGATTTGCAAGACAAAGACCTTCAGAAGATCAAGTTATTTTCTATTGATAACAGATGAAGTAAATGGCATAAAATGTGAAACTGTACATGTTCTAGATATGCAAATTAATACCTCTTCCTTCTTATTTTTTAATTAAAATTTATTATTTTATGTATATCTGTATTTTGCTTGCATGTATGTCTGTGTATCACGTGTGTTCAGTGCCCATAAAGGGCAGAAGAGAGTACTAGATCCCTTGGAACAGAAGTTATAGATGGTTATGAGCCACTATGTGGGGGCAGGGCACCAAACTCTGGTTGTGTAAAAGAGCAACCAGTGTTCTTAAACACTGAGCCATCTCTCTAGTCCCTTCTTCACTCTTTGTTAGTAGTGAATCTTTAACTCAAAGCAGGTTCTAGACACTTACTACCAATCCAGTGAAACTCATAAAATGTTATCACATATAATCAAGAGTTTGCATGGAAGGACACACACTGAAGGATTCCTACGGAGCAGTGTTGTGGAATGACCCTTTTGTACACTGTGAAGATTGGTGGCCACAGAAAAACTTCTGGCTACAGATTGGTCACTCAGATTGCTTTAATAAAAAAAGCTGAATGGCCAGTAGCAAGGCAGGATTTTAGGACAGAGATATCAGGCAGAGAGAACACTGCAAAGAAAATGGGCAGAGACACGGACAGTCACCAGCCAGATGGAGAGGAAGAAGCATGGGCAGCATAGAGTAAAGGTAATAAAGTCATAAGACAAAAAGTACACTGATAAAAATGGGTTAATGTAAGTTGTAAGAGCTAGTTAGTAACAAGCCTAAGCCATTGGCTGAGCTTTCATAATTAACAAGAAGTCTCATTGTGGCTAATTAGGAGCTGGCAGATGGGACAGAAAAATCCACCCACAGAACACCTCAGTGAGGCCTGATTAGCAACTGGGATTCCTCCCCCAAGATTGTGCTGGCTGCCTTTTGCTATTAAAAACAAATAAATCAAACAAAACAAAAATGAAAATATTTAGTGTTAAGTTGCAAGGTAGAAACATATGTTTTAGTAAAAAATGGTGTTCCAGATGAGGGTCAGAGAAATGAGAAGAATGGATGTTGACCTTTCTACAAGAGCTGGGGTGTTGTACTTATTAGTTTTGTTTTGTTTTTAATCAACTTGACACAAGCTAGAGACATCTGGGAAGAGGCAACCTTCAGTGAGAGATTGTCTCCAACAGATTGGCCTGTGGGCAAGTCTGTGGAGCATTTTCTTGATTAACGGTTGATGTAGGAGGGCCTGAGTCCACTATGGGTGGTGCCAATCCGTAGGCAGGTGGTCCTGGGTTGTATAAGAAAGCTGGCTGAGTGAGTCATGGGGAGAAAGTAAGCAGTGTTCCTCCATGGCTTATGCTTCAGTTCCTGACTCCAGGTTCCTGCCTTGAGTTCCTGCCCTGGCTTCCCTTCATGATGGACTCTAAGCTGTAAAGTGAAATAAACCCTTTCTTCTTCAAGTTGCTTCTGGTCATGCATAGTGTTTATCACAGTAGTAGAAATCAAATTAGAACAGAGGCACTGTGTGCCTTTGTGTAAATTGGGTTGGAAGCAAGAAACACCCACATCTACAGGGAACCAGTCATATACACATCACTTATTCTGACAGAAGAAAAAAGGAAAAGAAAACAAGAAAAACAAACCTAAGCAACTAGGCTGTTGGATTCTCAAAAGCTTGGAAAGGTCATGGTTGCCAATGTGCCAGCTTTATATTCATTAGTGTGCTAAAATACTCCATAAGAAGCAACTTAGGAGAGGAAGGGCTTATTTTCCTGACAATTCCGTGTTGCTGTCTATTGTGTCTGGTAAGTCAAGGCAGAAAATCAAGTAGCCAGTCACAGATAAGAGCAGAGAGAATAGATACATGTTTGCTTGCTTTCATCTCCTTTTCTTTTATCTTATATAGTTGCCTGAGTATGCTGCCATCCACAAGGAGCTGGGGCTTCCTGCATAAATTAGCAATCAAAACAATCCTCCACAGGGTTGCCTACTGGTCAATCTGATCTAGACAATTTCTCAATTAGAATTCTCTTCCCAGGTAATTCTAGGTTGTGTCTGTCAAACTGCTAGTTAGAAACAAGCCAGCACAGTAGCCAACTCTTTATGACACCACACAATTGTTGATTAGTCTACATGCAGACTGAGAGCCAATTGCATTATTATTATGGGAGCAAGTCTTGTCAGAAACCCACCAAGCCATAAGGTTAGATATAAGTCTGAGTGGGAGCTCATAGGATGGCCAATGATGTTGGTAGGAACTACCTAAGTGCTGATTTCAAATTCCCCTCCATTATTTCTTTGGGTGTTTCAATAGGAAAAGAAAATGGGGGGGGGGCTGAATATCACCCCAACTCCAGTTACAGATAGGGAGAAGCTTGGACAGCTACTCACATGTAGAAGAGCACCAGGCTGGTAGCCAGCAGCAACCAGGTTTCCATGGAAAGGTTGGGGATCAGCTCCATCTCAGCTTTTCTTTAGCAGTTCTGGCTCCAAGTTTCCCTCCTAGCTGAGAGTCTTGCAGGGCTCCCCTGCTGTGCCCAGCTGAAATCCAACTGGCCAGTCTGCAGTGTTTATCTGAAGGGAAAGGAGGTGTCAGGGATATAGCCAGTAGGAAGGCCACTTGCACACTGCCTGGCCTCCCCATGTGGCACTGTTAAAAGTCCATGTATTCCCCTACTCTGACCTTTGAGTTTATATTCTGTGTATATTTGTTCTTTCAGAAACTCAAATCCATTGGCACTGCTTCCTTCTAATTCTCAGTTGTGTCCATGGCTGTTCTCATTCCAAAACACATTAAATCCACACAGATAAACTATAGCTACCAATCTTTACCTGTGCCAAGGCCCTCTTCCTTTAAGGGACCCAGGTGCTCTGGAAGATGTGAAACTCAGGACTGAAAGTCACTCCCCACTCTTCACTGCTTTTTCCTTGGCACAAAACTCAATTGTTTTCCCTGTACTCTTACAGCATTTCTTTTTTCTTTATGGTAATTCACAGTACTCTTTCCCATCCTCCAGCTCTTACATTCTTTCCTCCATCTTCTCTGAAGTGTTCCCCAAGCCTTGGGTAGGAGGGTTGACATAGACATCTCATTTACAGCAAGACACTTACAATCACTCACTCTGTCTCTTGGATATGTTGGATATGTTATGGAAGCATTTTCTTTATCACTTTATAGACACAGAGACAGGAAAGGGTAAAAGGAGTGTCCAAGACTGAACCTCAGAGGTGGGAAACAGACAGAATTCTGATCAATTATGATTTTGTAGGGAGCTTGTGTGCTTGTCTTTGTATGAGCTCCTGAGTACCCCGCTGGTTGAGTCAACATCACACAGAGTAAATATTTCCTTGTACATGTCCTAAAATACTCCTAATGTGGCCAAAAATTGCTACAGAATGGCTTTGTAAGTACAAAACCCACAGGAACATCTTAGTAGGCATTACTAAATTATGAGTTCTTTTGCCCTAGGAACTGCAATGCTCTTAATTCTCAAATATTAGGATGTTATGAGCTAAGTTCAAAACTACCAAGGAAGTAGACTTTGAGGTCAGTGTGAGGTAGATGTCTTAGTTGCTTTTCTATTGCTATGAAGAGATGCCATGACCAAGGCAAATTACAGAAGAAAGAGTTTATCAGGGGCTACGCTTTCAGGGGGTTAGTCCATGACCATCATAACAGGAAGCAAGGCAGCAAGCAGGCAGGCATAATGCTGAAGTAGTAACTGAGAGCATACATACTGAGACAACAGCCATGAGGCAGAGAGAAAGCTAACTGAGAATGGCGTGGGCTTTTGAAATCTCAGAGTTGGAGCTGGGTGGTGGCGGCTCACACCTTTAATCCCAGCATTCATGAGGCATAAGCATGTGGATCTTTGTGAGTTCAAGGCCAGCTTGGTCTATAGAGTGAATTCTCAGACAGTCAGAACTACTCAGAGAAACCCTGTCTCAAAAGAAAAGAAAGAAAGAAATCTTAAAGCCTACTCTCCAAAGAGGCCACACTTCCTAATCCTTCCCAAACAGTTGCACAAGGAGGGACCAAGTGTTCAAATATATGAGCCTTTGAGGGCCATTTTAATTTAAAGCATTACAGCAGGTAATTGGAGCTATATGCCATCTACAACGTATTGCAATTGGAGTGAAGATACTAATGATGAAAAGTATTTATTGTTTTGCAGAACAACTAACCTGGGATTATCCTTGTTAAATATTAAACAGAGACCTCGTCTAACCACATGAACTTCATAAATTTCAGTTTTTCCTCACTCTGTGTTGGGAAATCTGACCACAGGGATTTGGCTCAGCCCAGAGGCACACTTCAGAACAACTCCAGTGCTGGCCTTAGGAAGTCAAGACGTGTTCGACAGATTTTCCATAGGTACTGTACCTTGAAATGGAACCTGAAGGCAGTTATCAAAAAGCCACCAATAATGACGTGGACCTAATGTTTTCACATAACAGTATCTTTGTTGATGATTAAACAGAGATCTCAACTCTGAATCTTTAGGAGGTTCAGAATTCCCTCCCTCCCTCCTTCTTTGTTTCCTCCTTCTCTTCCTTCCTTTCAAGTTTGTTTGGTATTTTTATTCGTTCTCTGCTGATATAACCAACCGTCTTATTAAATAAGAAACAGAAACAATGTAAAAGAGAAAGCCGAGAGGTCGGAGCTCAGAGCTAAAATCTCACCCTTCTGCCTGTGGTCCCAGCTTCCCGAAAGAGGGCTACTTCCTGTCTGTTCGTTTTTTTTTTTTTTTATAGTATGTTGTTCTGCCTTCTCATTGGTTGTAAACCCAAACACATGACTGCCTCATCACTGTCTGAATGTACAGCCCCCTAGGTCTTAAAGGCATATGTCTCCAATGCTGGCTGTATCCCTGAACACACAGAGATCTATGGGATTAAAGGCGTGTGCCACCACCGCCACACTCTGTCTATGGCTCTAATAGCTCTGACCCCCGGGCAACTTTATTTATTAACATACAATCAAAATCACATTTCAGTACAATTAGAATACCACCACATTTCCCCTTTTCTATTTTAATAAAAAGAAAAAGAAAATCATTTCAGTACAATTAGAATACCACCACAGTTCTCTTTAAGTGTTTGATGATCATACTCCCCCCCATTTCCCACTCCATCATCTCTCCATTACTCTCACTTATCCGTACCTTGCTACTCCTCCTTACCCCTTCTTTTCAAAGAAATATTTATTTTAATATTATGTGTATGAGTGCTTGCCTGGATGTATGCCTGAGCACCATGTGGGTGCAGTGCCAGCAGAGGCCAGAGGAGGGCATTGGGTCCCCTGGAAGTAGGGTTAAAGAGGGTTATGATCCTGCCACATCCATGCTGAGAACTGAACTGGAGTCTTTTTTTTTAAATTTATTTATTAAATTTAATTTTACATATCAGCCACAGATTCCCTTGTTCTTCCCACCTCCTTCTCCCCAGCCTTCCCCCCAGCCCACCCCTCATTCCCATCTCCAGGGCAAAGACTCCCCCGAGGATTGAGTTCAACCTGGTAGATTCAGTCCAGGCAGGTCCAGTCCCCTCCTCCCAGGCTGAGCCAAGTGTCCATGTATAAGCCCCAGGTTCCAAATAGCCAGTTCATGCACTGAGGACAGGACCCGGTCCCACTGTCTGGATGCCTCCCAAGCAGATCAAGCTAAGCAACTGTCTTATTTATCTGGAGGGCCTGATCCAGTTGGGATCAACTATTGGTTCATAGTTCATGCGCGGAGTCTTTTTCAAGAGCAGCCAGTGCTCTTACCGGCAGAGCCATCTCTCCAGCCCTCCACTTCTACACCACCCTTTCTCACACTTCTGGGTCTTCTTTTCTTGCAGTACCTGTGCAGGTAGCACAGCTGCTGTGTGTCCATGACTGCAACGGGCCTGTCATTCTAAAAGACAGCATTTCACAGTATTCCTCCCCCACATCCTCCAGCCCTTACAATCTCAGAGGCTCTTCTCTTTGGAAAATATAATCTATGGATACGCCATTAACCGCCCTTTATGGTAAGTTAGAGTTGTTGTTCCTAGTCTGTACTTTAGACTTGATTTCAACATCTCCACCTGCTTGAGATAGGCCGATTAAAGTCAACTAACTAAGGTTTCTGACTGAGCTGAGGCCATACTTTGATATTCATCAAAGGTTATATGTGCAATCCAGCACTAAAAGAAACAAGAGGTGTGTGGGGATTTTGTTCTTTTTGTTGTTGTTATTGTTATGCAAACATCTACTTTTTTCTAAAAATTTTTTATTAAAGTTTTTTCTTACAATATATTTTGATCATGATTTCTTTTCCCCAATTCCTCCTGATCCTTCCCACTTCTCTACCCACCTGACTTCAATGTTCTTTCTCTCTCTTTCTCTTGAATAAGAAAATAAACTGTCTTAGTTAGGGTCTCTATTGCTGTGAAGAGACACCAAGACCATGGCAACTTTTATAAAGAAAAAACATTTAATTTGGTTTGGCTTACAGTTTCAGAGGTTTAGTCCATTATCCTCATGGTGGTGAGCAAGCAGACATGGTGCTGGAGAGGGAGCTGAGAGTTCTACTCTGGACCTGCAGGCAACAGGAAGCAACTTTGTGTCACACTGGGAGTACCTTGAGTACAGGAGACCTCAAAGCCTGCCCCGACAGTGACACACTTCCTCCAACAAGGCCACGCCTATTCTAACAAATCCATATCTAATAGAGCTACTCCCTATGGGGGACATTTTCTTTCAAACCACCACACAGACTGTCTTAGTTAGGGTTTCTATTGCCGTGATAAAACACCATGATCAAAAAGCAAGTTGGGGAGGAAAGGGTTTATTTGGCTTACAGTCATATCACTCTTCATCATCAAAGGAAGTCAGGACAGGAACTCAAGCTTGGCAGGAACCTGGAGGCAGGAGCTCATGCAGAGGCCGTGGAAGGGTGCTGCTTACTGGCTTGCTCCTCATGACTTGCTCAGCTGATTTCTTATAGAACCCAGGACCACCAGTCCAGGGGTGGTCTCACCAATAATGGGCTGGACCTTCCTCCATCAATCACTAATTAAGAAAATTCCCTATAGCTGGATGTTATGGAAGCATTTCCTTAACTGAGGTTTCTTCCTCTCAGATGACTTTAGTTTGTGTCAAGGTAACATAAAACTATCCAGCACACAGACAAAAATAAAACAGTGCCTGGGCAGTTTCTACCCAGATTGGGTCCCAGCACTGTGAGGGGGGAAAGTAGACATGGGCTCCCACCTCTAACCAAGAAGCTATCTGCAATTGATATCCCTTGGCAAAGGAAAAATCTGTTTTCTCCAATGGAGTCTCCCTGGGTATAATAACCACATTGCGGGCAGGGCCAAGACCAGGAGTGACTAACACAAAGCTACTACTTTTTAAGGTTCTATTTTGATTTGTATTTCCTGGCGGGGGCGGGCCAGAGGATCAGATCTTGACTTTCAGTGACCAGCCCTAAAGGTGTTCTAAGACATGAGTTCCCAGAGTGAACTAAATTCCTTCTCAATGCTTCTGGAGTAGAGTGATTACATTAAACTTACAAGTTTTTTTTGTTTAATATTCAATGAAGTTTATGACAGTGAGCTAGCATTGCAGGGAATTATCAGATAGGAGTT